GAAACATTTCACTATGTCCTACTCCAGCTCTGGCTCTCACTGATAACAGACACTGCTTATTGACCTGTGTACCGAATCTGTAATTAAATTAATTTAAATTCCCTTGGGGGGGGGGAGTCCAGCTGGGTCCACTCAGCATGGGGGCCACTGATTGGCCTACTGTACCTGCCCCGGGTGGTTATGATGATGGAGAACTTGGTGGAATGAAGATTGACAGGGGAAACTGAAGTACTCGGAGAAAACCCACCCCAGTGCCATTTTGTTTACCACAAATGCCACTTGACCAGACCCGGGATTGAACCCGGGCTGCCACGGTGGGAAGCCAACGACTAACCACTTGAGCTATGGCGCGGCTGAATCTGTACTTTCTTCAAAAGCTCATGGCTACTGAGGATCACAATATATACAATGGTCTAGCTGAAAACATTCATAATGTGTACAGTGGTCATACTTACTACAATATAGAGTAGCATATGCTGCGTGTAAGACATCATATCCACTTAACTGGTTAACATATGAGTAAATTATATAGATGCTAACAGGAACAACATGAGTACTGCTTCTAGTGGTCAAATAGCCAAACATTACACTGGTACTGAACTGTCACATATTACTATGAAAAATCTGTGAGTGTGCAACATCATCAGATACCAATACAGATTTTTATATCATCTGGTACCATGCCAGACACCTTCCTAAACAAACAGGACTCTTTCTTCCATACAGATGTCTATTCAAAATATTACATACCCTCAAACATGTCCTAGACAAAGTACATTACTTTCAGAAAATGATAAATGTTATACCTGTTTGTCCTTCAATACACCCCAGAGTTGTTTCTGATGTTCAGACATTTCTCCTGGTGTGCAAGTATCAGAAGAATGTAAACTGCACACTGCCAAGCCTATACACAAGCACAATTATATGAAGGAAATGTATTTATAATGCAGCATATCATATCAAGGAATACAGAGTGCAATGTACTTCCTCATCATACAAAGATGCAATCACTACCTCCCACACTCTTTTGCTATAAATGCTCACATACATGCACACGGTTGTATTCCTGTTGTAAGAGAAACATTGTTGCTTATAACAATCCCCTAAGTGTTGCATGTAACAACTTTATTTACCCCATTAGTATGGGAGTAACCTGCAATGCACACTCTGCCACTGCGGAGTGCTAAGTATTGCAGGAATACTACTGCTTTACCTTTCCATTTCATGAACAGTATTCAAACTACATGAATTCTAGTTGCATACTTTTTTGAGATGAAGGTCCAGGCTATCATTGGTAAGTGAATAAACTGGATTTATTGATTTTTCAGTGAGCAAATTATTTTGAAAATTTGTTGATTATATAATTCAGCTGTTAGTAGACATGGCATCAACTACTAAAAATTAACTGAATATGAATACTGAAGGTATTGTGTATGAATGCTTCTCTGATTCTGAAGAGAGTAATTTTGATTCAGATGGTAAATCTGTTAGTGATGTCTGTGTAGCAGAAGCAGGTGATGATTACAGTGAACCTGAAGATAACACAAATCAAGGCACCAGAAGCAAATGTGTGAAAACATTTTTGTGGGAAGCTATGTCAAATTATGTGGGACATAGAGAAGTGTGTTATATATCAGGACCACAAAATGCAGCCAAAAATGTCTGTGAAGGGAACAAGGACTCCAAGTTGCTTTCTACTTCACATGCCTAAATTTAAATTCCCTATGGAAGCTCCTCTCACACGAGATCAGGGCCAGGGATTTAAATACTTCCATGCTTAAGAGTTAAGCATAAGTAAATGCTTGGTACAAGAATGACATATCTGAAAATAAGTTTCCTGTTAACTGAATCAACCATTGCTGACAACTAAGATCCAGTGAAATAGGAGATCCTGTCAGAATGGCCAATGCTGTAGACAAAAGACCACCTGCAGGACTGACCACTGGATCTGAAGATGAGACTTCATGTCCCTGTTGGCTACAGAGAAATTCATGAATGTCAACACAACGTCCATAAACCTTGGGTTCCTTTGGGTAGATATGGTTGAAAACCACTAATACCAAAACTTAGCATTGAACACAATCCCATGCCAGTTCAATTCACCTCCAATTTTCAGAATCTCCTACTTATGATATATCTTGATGATACATATCCATCTTCTTCCACATTTATGATATTCGTTTTCCCAGCATAATTCTCTATACATCCTTTCTCTCCCCTGTTCTAATTATGTGCTCAGCCCATAAAAGATTTTAGTATGCTAATATGTGATGTGTATAAATAAGCAAGTTCCTCACTATGCACAATGCTACACTGCTCACTTATTTCATTCTGACTTTGCTTAAATGTTTTTCTAAGCACCTGCCATTAAATACGTAAGTTTCAATTTTTTCTTAAGGTAACAAATCATATTTAAGACATACAGTCAACTCTCGATTATCCGGGGGCGGATTAACCGGTTTGCGGCTTAACCGGGGCTTTTTTTTTTAAGTTTATATGTTGTTTAATATTCATTCACTTTTGTTTCACATGGTGAGTTGTAACACTATTTTCGCACTAGTGTGAACCGAGCTCTGCATTATTTCGTCCCGTTATGCGAACACAATGTTCTAGGGTGGGGGTGAAAGAATGCAAGAATTTTTGGAAAGTTTCAAGGACAAATACACCGCCCCAGGTTATTTAACGGTACCATCTCAGTGTGAGAGTGCATTGTGAAAGTAAGTATCAGTTTCTTAATATAGATCTTCAAGTGCGTTAGCAAAATGTCGGGGTTTAAAAGGAAGCGTGTTGTGTTAAGTATTCAACAGAAACTTGAAATTATCAATCAGCTGGAAAAAGGAGCTGTAGTTAAAC